TGATAGAGATGAGGAACCTGAGGCCTAGGGATGGGAAATGGCTTGCCCAAGGCCATACGACTTGTTCCTGGCAGAGCTGGGACTGTAATGGTGTTTCTCAATTTGGAGCCCAGTTCTTTTACTCCATGTACTATTTGGGGTTGCATTTCACTGCAAATGACAGAGACCGATGGTGCCTTACACCAATGGATATTTGTTGCTAATGATGGCTTTAGGAGATAGGAGTTACTTTTCTTATTTTCTAAGAAGTCTGGAGGTGGGCAGTCAAAGATTAGCATAGCTGCTGGAAGATGTTAAGGACTTAGTCTCCTCTTATCTTCTCTTTTTGGTTTCTCTTTTTCTTTTTTTCTTTTCCTCTTATCTTCTTCTTTTCACCCTCAGCCCATGGTTTTTGTCCTTATTTTCTTGAGATGGCTGCTTTCCCTCTAGGCATTGTGTCCATATTCTGGACAGGTGGAAGAAATGAGGCTGAATTTGTCTTTTCATAAAGCCTTACCTGAAGGCTCCATATCATATATATATAATATTTATGTAAAAGACTCTATGTTATATATTAACATGTTGTATTATATGTAACATGTAATACAGTAAGTCCCTTACATACAAACCTTCAAGTTGTGAACTTTCAAAGCTGCTAATGTTCATTCACACACATAAGTTAGTTCACATGTCTGGAGTACATTGCCCCATGTGTGCATCCTCTACAAGTGATTTTGCTTTTGTGTACTTTACTGTTCAGTACTGGATAGAGTACAGTAGTACAGTAACTTTATTTCAAGCCCAGGATGTCTCGAAGCAAGCATAAAAGCAGTGTGATATAGCGGTTACTACTGTATCTTTCAAGGTACTGTACTGTGAGGTTAAAAATGTTTTCTTTATTTTGTGTGTTTTTTTAATGTATTATTTGTGTGAAAAGTATTATAAACTGATTATAGTACAGTTTGGCTATATATATGGCTGATTGTGTGAGTTGAGTACTTAGACTAATTTTGTTGGGCTTATGAACAAATTGGACTTAGGAACTCATTTTCAGAACAGAACTCATTCTTATGTAGGGGACTTACTGTATAAATTAATAAGTATATGTGTATGTACAGGTATATTATATATGCATATATGTCTGCATATATGTAATATATATATCAATTCAGTTCAGTTGCTCAGTTGTGTCGGACTCTTTGAGACCCCATGGACTGCAGCATGCCAGGCTTCCCTGTCCATCACCAGCTAGCTCAAAATCATGTCCATCGAGTTGGTGATCCAATCCAACCACCTCATCCTCTGTCAGCCCCATCTCCTCCCACCTGCAATATTTCCCAGCATCAGGGTCTTTTCAAATGAGTCAGTTCTTCGCATCAGGTGGCCAAAGTATTGGAGTTAGCTCCAACATCAGTGCTTCCTATGAACATTCAGGTCTGAGTTCCTTTCGGATGGACTGGTTGCATCTCCTTGCAGTCCAAGGGACTCTCAAGAGTTTTATCCAACACCACAGTTCAAAAGTGTCAATTCTTCGGGCCTCAGCTTTCTTTTATAGTCCAACTCTCACACCCATACATGACTACTGGAAAAATCATAGCTTTGACTAGATGGACTTTTGTTGGCAAAATAATATTTCTCCTTTTTCATATGCTGTCTAGGTTGGTCATAACTTTTTTTCCAAGGAGCAAGTGTCTTTTAATTTCATGGCTTCAGTCACCATCTGCAGTGATTTTGGGAGCCCAAAAAGATGAAGTCTGTCACTGTTTCCACTGTTTCCCTGTCTATTTGCCATGAAGTGATGGGACCAGATGCCATAATCTTAGTTTTCTGAATGTTGGATTTTAAGCCAACTTTTTTCACTCTCCTCCTTCACTTTCATCAAGAGGCTCTTTAGTTTATATGTGGTAAGTCCTGTTAATAGATATATAAGAGGTGCAGGAGTGGGTATATGAATTGGAGGGGGCATGCAGAAGGTCATCAAGCTTGGCAGAGGACTTGGAAGTAGCTATGGCAGTATATAGAGAAGAGAACAGGGAACAGCATCCATGTTGATGGAGATGTTTCTGAGACAGGAGTATCTGGTAGGCCTGAGAAGGGAGAAGGAAGGGGATAACTGAGATGGGTGTCTAGCTTGGGATACACAGAACATGATGACTCTATCATCTTATGGAGTGGAGGATTCTAACATTTCTGAATCTTCCTAGCGATTTTATGTCTAAGGAGCTCAAAGCCCAAAGCCAATTCTCTTTGTGAAGCCTGGGACACATCTCAGTTCAGTTTAGACGCTCAGTCGTGTCCGACTCTTTGCGACCCCATGAATCACAGCATGCCAGGCCTCCCTGTCCATCACCAACTCCCAGAGTTTACTCAAACTCATGTCCATCGAGTCGGTGATGCCATCCAGCCATCTCATCCTCTGTCATCCCCTTCTCCTGCCCCCAATCCTTCCCAGCATCAGGGTCTTTTCCAGTGAGTCAACTCTTCTCATGAGGTGGCCAAAGTATTGGAGTTTCAGCTTCAACATCAGTCCTTCCAATGAACACCCAGGACTGATATCCTTTAGGATGGACTGGTTGGATCTCCTTGCAGTCCTAGGGACTCTCAAGAGTCTTCTCCAACACTACAGTTCAAAAGCATCAATTTTTCGGCGCTCAGCTTTCTTCACAGTCCAACTCTCACATCCATACATGACTACTGGAAAAACCATAGCCTTGACTAGATGGACCTTTGTTGGCAAAGTAATGTTTCTGCTTTTTAATATGCTATCTATGTTGGTCATGACTTTCCTTCCAAGGAGTAGGTGTGTTTTAATTTCATGGCTGCAATCACCATCTGCAGTGATTTTGGAGCCCAAATAAAGGGACACATCTAGGGGTTGATTATTCCAGGCAGCAGGAAGAAGGAACAAAGTAACTTTTATAGCTCCCACCTGTGTGGTTTCCTATCAGTTAAGTTCTTGCTTAGACCCACAGTGGGCTTTGGTGTGAAGTAATGCTAATTTCACCAGACAGGAAATCTATCTTATTCATCTTTGTACAGGTGCTCTTCACTGTGTGGCCCTTCCTGATATGCCACTACTCCGTTAACATCTGTTGGATGAGTGAATTCAGGCTTGGCAATGGTAGTTCTCCTATTTTGGAGTCTGGGTAAGGTGAGAGAGGGGGAAAGCCCTGGGTTTGGGCCAAGACACCTGGTTTCTTAATTGGTGTGTGATCTAGGCCAGTTATTTCAGTTAGCTGTGATTGTCCTAAAGTCCCTTCCAGTGATCCAAATTCATACTGCTATCCCTTTCTCACTTATCTTTTAATTTATTTTTATTAGGTATAGTTGATATGCAATATTTTAATTTTCAAGTATATAACATAGTGAGTTAACATTTAAGTACATTACAAAATGATTACCACAATAAGTCTAATAACCATCAAAATTATTACAGTGTTTAGTAATTATTAACTATATCCCTTATGCTGTATACTACATTCCTGAGACTTAGCTGCAACTGGAAGTTCATACCTCTTAATCCCTTTCACCTATTTTGCCCAACTCCCCACCCTCCTCCTTCTCTAGCAGTCATCAGTTCTGTGTATCTATGAACTCGTTTCTGTTTTTGCTTTGTTTCATTTTTTAAAATCCTATAGATAAGTTAAATCATATGTTATTCATCTTTCTCTGTCTTAATTCATTTAACATAATGCCCTCTGGGTCCGTCCATGTTGCTGCAAATGACAAAATTTTTTTTTTTTTCCTATGGCTGAGTAATATTCTATTGTATGTATCCCACACCTTCATCCATTCATCTACTGATATACACTTGCAATGAACATAGGGGTACCTGTATCTTTTCAACTTAGTGTTTATTTTCTTTGGGTAAATACCCCACCCCCTTATCCTTCTACTCCCCCCCCCCCTTTTTTTTTTGGCAGCCTAGAAGGCATATAGGATCTTAGTTCCCCAACCAGGGATCAAACCTGCACCCCCTTGCATTGAAAGCGTGGAATCTTACCCACTGGACTGCCAGGGAAGTCCCCATCCTTTTAATCCTTTCATGTATGTCTAGGCTCTTAACACTCTTTTACAGTCATTATGATATTAATTGTAAACTCTGTAAGTGCTTATTGTTAGGCACCAACATAAGCACTTTGCATATATTAACACATTTGATCCACATAACACTAATAAGGTAGGCACCATTATTATGTATTTTATAGTTGAGGAAACTGAGGTACAGAGAAATTATGTATCTTCCACAGGCTCACAAACTTGTAAGTAGCAGTGCTCAGGGAGTGCAGGTCAGAGTCCAGTTTTAACTACCTAAGTATGCTATCTCCAGGTCATCTCATAATTACCAGTAATTATGAGAGGCTGGTGATGTATTCTCTCATTTTTTATAAATAAGGCAACTGAAGCTTAACTGCTTTACTGGTACACAGCTAGAAAGTACCAGGGCTGGACCTCTGGCTTTCAACCAAGTCCGTGTTCTTTCTGGTAACCAGCCTGTTCTAGAGGTTGAGTATAAGGCCTCTAGTGCCTGGTTGACAGAGTCAAACCCCACTCTGTCACTTACTGGCTTGCTGACATTAGGTTAGTTCTGTGTTTGTTTTCTCATCTGTAAAATGAGAATGAGAACATGAATACCAACCGTACAGAATTGTCGTGATGATTAAATGAATTATTAGGTGTCGAGTGCCTGGAGCATAGTGAGCATTCAATAGGGTGTCAGCTATCACTTTAAGTTCTGAACCAGCATTACCCAACAGAAATACAATGTGAACCAAACAGTAATTCTAATTTTTTTCTAGTAGCCGCATTTTAAAAAGTAGTAAAAAACTAAGATTATTTTAAACATATTTTACTTAACCAAAGATATTCCAAACTGCAATCAATTTTGTAACGACCCACATTGTAATCAATTTAAGCTTAAGAATGAGCTAAGCCTCGAAATTTCGGTGTGTATTCTATACTTTATAGCATATCTCAGCTTGGACCAGCCACGTCACTTGGGACTGGTGGCAGAGCAGCCCATGAGAGGCCCCCCCGCAGTCGCGTCCTCATCCCGCTACAGTTCTTTACCGCGACCAGCTGGCCGGCGCCCCGGGCCCCGCCCCGCGCCCCTCCCAGGTTACGTCATAGAACCCACAGGCCCTGCAGGCGGGGAGACCAGGGCCCGGCCGCGTGTGCCGGGCCTCTCGCATCTTCCCCTCTCCCTGCACGCAGGTTCTAAAAGGAAGCGACGACCAGCACACAGAGCAGCGGGGGAGGTCGGCCGGTCCTCCCGCCGCCCAGGCAGCAGCAGCAGCAGCAGTAACAGGCGGGCGGGAGACGCGCATCTGAAGCCCCCTCACGTATTTCGCCCGCCACTGCCCTGCTCCGCTTGGCCGCTACCCCGCCTAGGTCGAGGCGGCGGGGCCGGCCCCTATTGGTCCGCCGCGGCCCTCCGCCCGCCCCCTCGCCCCACTTATTGGCCGAAGCCGCCGCGCCCGCGGGATAGGCGGCGGCGGCGCCCCTCCCTCGCGCCGGCCCTCAAGAGGGCGACGAGGAAGCGGCCGCCTCCCTGCGTCCCGCCCCTCGGGCTAGTTCGCTGGCTCCCGGCTCCTCCCGGCCCTCTCCCGGCTCCCTCCGGCTCCGGCTCCGGCGCGGCGGCGGCGGCGGCGGCGGCGGGTAGGTGCAGCGGCAGGCGGGGCCCGATCGGACGGGCGGCTTCCTCACTGTCCCCGGGACTGCCCGAGCCTCGCCCCGCGGTAGCCCGGGACCCCACCAGGCCCGCCCGAAGCGGGGAAGGGCGGTGGCCGCCGGCCTGCGGGACGCGGGGGCGGTCGGGCGAGGGGGGCCTGCGGGCGTGATCTTCCAAGTCTTGGAGGCTCGATAAGGGGGCCCGCCGGGCGGGGCGGACAGAACCGAGAGGGTCTGGAGCGACGGGGCTAAGCCGCACTTCTCAGGCGCGGGATTGGGGCTGAGCCGGGTGAGCGAGGGTCGGTTGCAGCCTGGGGCCCTGGGTGGGGCTCGGGGGCTCTGGAGAACTCAAAGGTCGTGCTGTGAAGCTTTTGAGGGTCAATTGAAGTGGGGCGGAGGTGAGCCTCAGAGAGGGTGCTGGGTCTGGGGATTACGGGAGGAGGTAGGGGGTAGTCGAGAGAACGTGGCCCCAGGCTGGGCTCTCCCGGCGCGCGCTGCGCTAGCACTGTTTGGGGAGTAAGCATGTGTCTGGCTGCGGGAGTGCGCATGGGTCGCTGCCCGCGGATGCGAGGATAGGACCTGGAGGGGCAGTTAGAAATGTTACCCAGAACGGAGATTGTGATTTAGCACATGGGCCAGGTTCTCCACTAGTGTGTTGCCTGAGCTGTTCTTTGGAGAAATTACTCCTTGGGGGTGGGGGGAAGTGTTAGGGTTTTGCTTTCATCCAGGAATGGGTAAAGTGAATGCATTTGGTGCTTTGGGGAGGAGACAGGATTACGTTTAGCTTTGTGTTTTAGGACCCAGACCCAGAGTGAAACGTGCTTCTCACGATAGTGTTACCCAGCTTTCTCCCGGGAACCCCCTCTTCTCCCCTCCCTCTTCGGTCCAGTTACAGTATTGCTCCCCGGGGCCTCTCGATTCCTTTTCCCTGGCTCCCTAGGATTGCTGTGTTTCTTGCTGTGTGTGTGTCCCGCCCATTTCCCTGCTGCTGCACTTTTGGCAACTGCCTGTGCTCTTTCCCAGGGATGGTTGTGGCATTGCATCAGGGGATATTTGTGCTTGTAATTTGCTCACTCAGCCCAGGAAGAGGGAGAATAGTATGCTGCAGAGATGGGGGCTGGGGGAGGGGGAGGTGGTGCTGTTCGCCGGGCTGGGCAGACAGAGAAATGGGTGTGGTGAGGGAATACAGCTGCTCTAGGCCTATAGGGTAACACTGCCCAGTCATCAGCTCAAAGAGATTCAAAGAGCGGCAGCAGCAGCTATTTTTATAAATCAGTCCTGAATCCAAGCTGAGCACATGGATTTAGAGTGAACAGTTGTCATGCTCTAACTATTACGGTCTGGGTGTTTGGTCGACAACACTAGAGTTGCTAAGCAAGAGACTCCTTCTGTACAGTGCAGGGGGGACTTTACTTGCAACGTTTTAACTTTGCCTTTTTCACCTCTCTTGTACAGGACGTGTCTCTTCTGGGGGTGTCTTAAATTGTTGTGGTTTGACGGTCCATACTGCTGCTTTTTAAATGAAATGTTTTTACCTCATTTATACACTTGCTTTCAGATATGGCTTAAATAGAAAAAGCTATCACTTCTTGAGTACTTGCTGTCTTCCAGGCACTAGTTATAGGTGTTTATTTCTAGGTGAGGAAATTGAGACTGATGGAAATCAGAGGTCACACAGATTAAGTGGCATCAACACCAGGGTCCTTCTGACTCCCACACAGTAGTTCAGAAACTGTAGGTTCACACAGGGGTGAGTCAAGCTCTTGAGAATTTATTCGTGCAAAGTAATCTCACTGGAGAATGATAAGCCAGATATCAATTTATTTATGTCCAAAGTTTTAAGTGCCATATGAACAACTGGCATCAATTACCTGCAGGCCCAGGACACCTCCTTTGTTTCTGGACAGGCCAATCAGTAATAAGAGTGCAGTTGATTATAGAATTGAAACTAAGAGCACTGGATGTTCTTAGGGAATGTTTTAATCAAGTTACAGAAGCCTAGTGGGTCAGCCTTCTTTCTCCATTGTGCAAACTCACATATTTACTCACATATTTATATTGGACAGTGCTGGGGAGATTCTAACACATTTCCTCACTGTCTCAGTTTTTTTTTTTTTTAAATAGATAATTTTATTTATTGTTGGGCAGGGACTTTTTCTAGTTGTGGCGAGAGGGGGCTACTCCGTAGTTGCAGGGAATGAACTTCTCATTGAGTTGGCTTCTCTTGTTGCCTAACACGGTCTCTAGGTACTGGGGGTTTCGGTAGTTGTGGTACTCAGGCTCTAGAGCACAGGCTTAGTAGATGTGGTGCACAAGCTTAGTTTCTCCGTGGCATGTGGGATATTCCTGGATCAGGGATCTAACCTGTGTATCCTGCATTGACAGGTGGATTCTTTACCCCTGAGCCACCAAGGAAGTCTCTTCAGTTTTTTAAGTTGTCTCTGCATATATTTGTCATCCCAAATTTATAAATAAGTTTATATTACATATTTAAAAAGTCATTTTCCATTGTTTGGTGACAGTAAAGGAAACACCTGGATTTTCTTAGGTTTACGTGGCTTGGCTTTATTTTTTTAGAGGGTATAAAAATGTTTGTGTACTAATTGGCTTTCAAGGGAGAGAGTGACAAGTTTGTCAAATGTTTTCAGAGTGGCTTGAGAACAGGGAAAGATGCTTGCAGTTTTAATTTTGATTGTAGAGTGGGGGTGGGTGGGGATGAGCTTTCCCTTGTGTGGTTTGAACCTCCCACCTACATCAAGATAGGTGGCTTAGTTTTAGAGATGTGGTTCCTAATCATCTTAGGGTCTTCTTCTTTTCCCTGATCTTGTCTCTGGATTTGGTGATCCATCCTTTGGCTGTGTAAACTTTTGCTGTTGACACTTCAAATTTTTGGCATCACTATTCTCCTTTTCCTGTTTAAAGTGTTAATCATCACTTGTTGATATGTAGGTTTTATTTTTCCTTAAAAAGCAAGGACATCTGAAAAGAACATTTTAAAGTTGTCTGGATATAGTTCGTATGATTTGCTTAATTTGAAAAGGAAACTGAGTAGATGTCTCTGATTTCTTTGTCCTTCTAAATGGCATTCTTAGAATCAGCTTGTGTGTACGTGTGCTTTTTCCGACTTCATGGTCTGTCACCAGGCTTCTGCATTGGCAGGCAGTTTCTTTACCACTGTGCTACCTAGGAAGCCCCCAGAACCAGCTTACTGTGATAGCCTTATTGCTTGGAGTGAGTGTGTTGAGGACAATTAGGGTCAGGAAAGGGGATCAGCAAACATATTGTACCCACTACCTTCTTAGAGCATTCTACACTAATTTCTGAGTGCAGAACTTAGGGGAACTGTTTTGTATGTCATTAAAATTTTAAGCTGGAAAGTCAACCGAGTTGACTTTTGTGATTCTTCATAGGTTAGACAGTTCATCTTGTCACCGTAAAACCTGTTTTATTAGTTTGCATTTATTTATCTTTTGACATTTATTTATAACCTTTCCTAACCCGCTTCCTAATTTTACAAGGAATATACAATTAAAAAAAAATCTTTTACTTTGAAATAATTTTAGATTACAGAAGAGTTGTAAGGATAGTACACAATTTCTCTATGCTCTTCATCTAGCTTCCCTTAATGTTAGGGTTTTATATAACCATGATAAATGTATCAAAATTAAGAGATCAACGTTAGTTTGACATTAGCAACTGACTTACAGCAGATTTTCCTGTGACTTCCCCAGTTTTTCCACACTGATAGCCTTTTTGTGTTACAGGATTCAGTCCAGGATACCACATTGCACTTAGATGTCCTGGCCCCTGAGTTTCTTCCAGTCAGTGACAGTTTCTTGGTTTCTCCTTGCCTTTGACACTTGACACTTTTGAAGAGAAGTGATCATTTGTAGAGTGTTCCTGAATTTGAGTTTTCTGTTTTCTCTTTTTTAGTTATTTTGTTTTGTTTTTTCTCTTGATTAGTCTGAGATGAAGCATTTTAGGGAAGAATATCAAAGAGATAGTATGCTGTTCCTGTCACACATTTTGTATCAGATGATATCTGATATCAACATGGCTTATTGCTGATGTTAACTTTAGTAACTTGGTTTTGGTAACTTGGCTGCCTTGTTTTTTATAAAGTGACTCTTTTTCCGTTTCCTTACTTCATTTGTTAGAAGCTAGAAATGAGTCACTGAGTCAGGCCCACACTCCAGGGCAAGGGAATTTAAGCTCCACCTCCTGAGTATCAAAGAATTTGTGAGCATATGTTAAAACCACCCACAGTAATTAGTAAATATCTCAGAGAGGCTATACAAGGATCTGATTTTTTTCTTAAAGTTTCATCCTCTAATGTCAGTGAAACTTGCACACAGCAGCAATTACTGTGCTATTCTAGTGGTGATTTTCTATTTCTCTCATTCCTCCTACATTTATTATTTGGAATTCTTCTGTAAGAAAGATTTGTACTTTTCATCCCATTTACTTACTTTAATCATTTAGTGTGGATTCATGAATATTTTTCCCCCTTTGGGTTGTATTTCATTGTATAAATTCTTCTAGTTCTGACCATTTGGCACCTATGTTCTTTTGACACGTCCCCCTCCTACCCTGTCCCTTTTTTCTTTTTTGGAGCACATTTTTACTTTCTGATATCACAGATGCTCCAGTCTGATCTTGTATTTTCTCTGCCTCAGTTCTAGAATCAACCATTTCTCCTGGTTTCTTTTATTGGAGAAAAATATTTAGAAACCAAGATCTGTTTTCTAAATGAACTGGGTGTACTCATTGCTACTGGGATATTACTGCTTCTTGACACTCTTAGGGAACAGAGTTAGGAAATATATTTATGTATACTGACCCAGGTATACACATCTGACTTTTGTTTTTTTGGCCACACCTCACGGAGTATTAGTTCCCTGACCAGAGTTTGAACCTGTACCTTCAACAGTGAAAGGACAGAGTCCTAAGCACTGGACCACCAGGGAATCCCCTACACCTACCTGTTTCTGTATCTATTTGTATATAAATATAAACATGGGTTCATACTGGTCTCTCTGACTCTAATCCAGCATCACAGAGTTCATTGTAGTATTCCCCTCCTTGCTTATTTGTAATTTCTTTCTCTGACAGTGAGATACTTGGTTCTTTTTTTTTTCTAGGTTCTGTGAGTCCTAGTGAATTTTCTTTT